TACTAAATGAATCCTCCATAGTTCTTAAACAGTACAAAAAAAAGCTTGAAATTGAATAAGGTGATGCAATATATTACTATCATAAATACTTAAATATATATATAATAAAATTTTTTACTTACTTTTTTTTTTCTCTAGAGATCAGAAGTGCTTATTTTTTTATTTATATTGATAAAAAAACACACTTATTCACTAATACAACACTTGACTGAGGTGTAATTATCTTAACACCAGAATACAATATATAAATCCAATGTGGCCAAGCTTCTAGTATAAAAGTATAATATGCTTTCAATATTTATGCGCATTAAATTGAAAACTTAAGTATAATAATAAGAGTAATTACAAACACATCACACATCTGGTTCAAGAAATACGACAAGGTCAAGCTTCTATATAGCTGAAACCTTATTCATTGAAATGTAATATTGCTTTCAATATTTAAGTTTCAAATTAACAACTTCACTTTGAAATAAAAAAAAAGATACTGTATTACTTATGTGTTTCAGGTAAGTCGTAAATCAATCTCTAATGTATATATTATATTATTCATACTCAATAAATTTATAAACTAAACTTTGTTCATAGCCCTATAAAAAATAATTGTTTTATATTTGTGTTTAAAATTATACACTATTTGTGTTTAAAATTATGTACTATTTGTATGTAAATTATATACTATTTGTATAAATCATTGTATAATAAATGTTTTAAAAGGGGCCATTTTGTCTAATATTTGTTTTATATATTTATTAATAAAAAATATAATTTTTGTATAAATTATTTTGTTAAAATGTTTAAAAAATATATGATTTCTATTTAAATATTGTTTTTTTTTTATTTTATATTTATTTAATATTTGATTTTCGTTTTATTAATTTAAAAGCATTATAAATTATATACGCCAATTCATATTTAAGCTAACGCTATGTAGTACATTTGATTTCTATATAATAATTCTAAATAAATATATATCCGATAAAGCTATATGCATTTTTTTTTAGCGTTTCTGGAGCTATATATAGTAAAGTTCTTCATGCTTCAAGCTTTTTGCATTCTTTATCAAATAATTAGTCCGCATTATTATGTAGACGATTGTTGGATCTTAGCACTCGGGAAGATACGATAGACGTCTGCTTATCTAAATATGTACAAATAAAAATGAATTTATTATACGTACATATGTACGTATCATATTAACATTCAAAAACATTATATCATTATCATAAAATATACAGAGTAAATTATACCCTGTAAAATTTTCATAATAATATGGCAAGAAAATAAATACCTTTATTCTTTGAAGCTTTCATTTTTTTCCCTTGTCGATTATTAGACATTACTTTTTTGAAATATTCTTCATTCGTTTCGTCGGATGTTATTTTTTGTGATGATTTTAAGACTTGAAGAGTCGAACCTAGGTGCTTTTTAGTGTGCCTATTTTTTGGTTCTGATGTATTGACATTAGTTATGTTTTCTTCGTTCATAATAGGTGCCTGTCGTTCTGTTTGAAATTCGGTGAAGGCTTCTTGTTCGTTAGTAGAGAATGTTTCTGGTCAGTAGTTAATATTAGTTAAATCAAATGTAAATAATTTAAAAAATATGTATATTCAAAATATAACTACCCTCAACTCTTTCTGTTGTTAGTTCAGAACCATACTCTTGGTCTAAGTAGTTATCATCAGACAGCACTATAATTAAGG